TGTGCTAAGAAGGTTGGTGACAAGAAATTCAAGCATCTTTTACTAATGAAACAGATGAGTAGATGGTACAAAACAAGGGAAACAGAAGTGGTTTTAACGGATTGCCAACACCTGGATTTGAACAGCATGCCATGGTTCAGAGTTCCAAAAGGCTCTAGTGGACACACTGGCCTTGGAAAAGGAACTTGGACACTAAAGTGGGGGTAGAGATAGGGTGATCTTCAGGGTACTGGGATGGAGGGCAATGACATACAAAGTCATAGATTTTAAAATTGCCTTTGGAGATCAGTTGATGTTTTTTCACATTTTAAAACAGAAAATCCTGTTTTCTTTACAGTGATAACAATATTCTACTATTTTGAGCCTAATTCTTTGCATAGAAAACAATCACTGTCAATATTAATCAAGTTTGATTATATTGGATAAACAATGCTCTAGTGATAATAAGAGCCTTTGTATTATTATGGTAAGATCCTTGGTGGTAACTGGCTGTTAAAAATAATAATCTTGATAGTGTCTCTGTGGATCAGTATCAAGGACACTTCATGATAGATTTTTTACATTAGCTAGCAAAGCTTTATTTTATATTCTATATTTTAAATAAACTGTGACTATAAATAATAAAAAACTGATATACTCCAAATACTTTATATGCAGTGATTAAAAATAGTAAGTATCAACTTGATATTTATTAAATGCTATTTCAAGCACTTTTTGTGGCATAACATCTTGCCAATAGCTACTTATTTTATCTTTTGGTTTTCTGGGAGATTTATCTATTTTACTATGCCATTCACAATCTATTTTAAACGTCACATGAGTTACTCTGTTAACTATGCATCTGAGGAAAATAGGACATGAACAAGTCCAAGTTTTTCACAATATAAAACTTTACTACTGAATAAATAATGACTTTCTTGCTCATTCTCAAATTTCAGAAGGGCAGGTAATTGTAAAATGAAATGTCAATTATGAATGAGGGTTGAAAGAGGAGGATGGATTTTTGTAACTTACTAAGGAGAAAGCCAACTTTGTGAAATCCAATTAATTATCTATTCAGATCTCACTAACATATGTAAGTGAAGAACTCCTTGTAATAATAAAGAACTCCCCGAAATAATTCCTACAAAAAGAAAAAAGGCTCTGAAGTTAGTCTGGGTACATGGCTAATGTGCCTTTTTTCCTACAAAGGGGACAGTCTACTTGACAATCTCTGATGAATAAGCATCTATTATAAATATTTTTTAAGTCTTTTATAACTTAGTGAAGAGACACACGATGTTTAACAGAAAAAAACATGACCTTATTGGCCTTGGATAAATTTAAAAGTTTTTTTTTTTTTAATGTATCTGTAGTCCATTTTATTTTATTTTTTTATTCAGGTAGAATGAATTATTAGATGAGAAGAAATAAATGAATAAACGACTTGACTTCATTAATGCTGAATATATCAGGTAAACCATGTTAGTTTTCTGCATTTTGCATCAGGAGCCAGCAGAGAGGTTAAGAAAATAAGATTTACAAACCACCTATGTTCAAACAGTAGCTCTGTTAAAAAGTAACAGTGAACCTTCAGAAAGTGATTTGTGTTGGTCAGCTTCCCATCATTATAATGAAATATCTGAGACAATTAACAAATAAAGAGAAAAGGTTTATCTACGCTCACATTTTTGGTGCTTCCAGTAGAAGATTAGCATATTCATTGCTTTGGGCCTCTGGTAGACATTTCTGGTGGCAAAGTCTGAGAGTGGTTGGTGGAGCAAACAGCTCACCCACGGTAGAGAGTAAAAAAGAGAAAAAGGGACTAGGGTCCCACAGTCTCTTTTGAGGGCAGACCCCCAGTTACCAAAGGACTTCTCATAAGGCCCTACCTTCTTAATCTCACCATTTCTCAATAGAGCCACCTTGGGGACCAAGTCTTCAACACATTGACCTTTAGGGGGCACTTATCCAAATCATAATATGGCTTAAACTGCCTAAATTTAACTTTCTTATCCCACAATGGTGATGATAATGTCTAGGGATATGGCAAGAATTAAAAGAGCTGCATATGAAGCCATTAACATGGTGCCTGGCAAAAGATCAGCTCTCAAAGTGAGCCTTTAAAAATTATGATTATGATGATCTTGTTTTTGGTAGAGGGGATTCTTAGGAGACGGCCTAGTGCCTGCAGGTGAATATTGCTTATTTAAGGCCAGGTGCTACTCTGCTTGGTGGAGCTGATCACCTTGGTGTGGCTGGATTTGACTCACTAATTGTGTGACACTGAGGTGTAAATACTTCCCAGATGGACACAGACTATTTGTTTAAATTCGTCAGAATATTGGAAATCTCACATATAAAAAAACCTATGTCTCACAGGAAATTCCATGTTGAATTCGGTAAAATTCTAGCTTACTCACTCTCAACTGGCCTTGGTGGTGATAAGTCTCTCTGGCAAAGCTGGGTGGTCAAAGGAAACTCATCTATGACTTTTGTATTTGTTCTGTACTGTCCAGTCTTTCAGCAGAATTTTATATCTTTTATTATATAAGACTTTTATTTTATGGTGCATATGCAGATTCTTTCCACCAACAGGTAGCTTGCCTGAGATAATATAATGAACATGCCTAGGTTATTTATTGTGCACTTTAAAAGAAATACAAACTCTTGTTATGGGCCAATTTAAAGTGTGTTTCTTAGAGAATCAACTATAGAGAACAAATTTAACTCTTCTACAATATATGCTACCACCCTATATAAGTGCTTGTTTTTGTAATAGGAGAAGCTTTTTCTACAGTCAGCACCACATTAAAAACCAGCACCACAATCACTTCTCTTGCTACACATCTCTTCTTTTGCCCTCACCAGGCTCCCTCCCCAAGCTTACACCCCTGGGCCTTATGTAATCCCAGGATGATCACATGTGATAAAACAGGCCCTGCAGATCCAACAAGCCAGCAGAATCTATGCTTTGGCCCCTTGATCTAATTTAGCTTGAGGATATAAAAATGTCTTACAAAGAGAATTGAGAATAAGTCAGAGTTTTGTCCTCACTTGTACCTTGTTTTGTTAAGTCATTTAAAAAGTAGGTGTAGAAACTGACTCCTGGGAAGACTAATGTGATAGAACCATGGCACATTTTTCTAAAATTGAAGAAAATTCTAAAAGACAGGAAGGAAAGTCTAAAGATATTCTGTGTGGCAACTCTTTAAGAGTTCACCTAATGAAGGGCGAAGAGGAAATGTTCTACAAGTCAGCAGACATCACCAAAGCTTAAGGCAGGCAGCATAAGGAACACCTATACATCATAATTACAAACTTCAGTAAAGATTTAATATAAAAATCAACCCTGTAATTTAGCATTTTTATAGAAGAAAATTCATGAGTTAATCAAGAAGAATGAATATTCCAGAAGAATATTTAAATTTCTAGGACATAGCAACTGAAGTGAATACCATGTGTATATAGCAGGTGTGAATGCATTTCCCTGTGGGATAAAAATAACAAAGGAAAGCATTGTAAGGCTGTGTAACTTTGTAAGTGGAAGATTGACTCTTTTGTTAACCTCCAATGGGACACCTGGAGATTAAAAATCCATACGTGATAGGAATAAGATTTTTTTGGGGATTATTTTACTAAAAATGGAAATAAGGTACCTGTCATTAATAGAAACAGAACTTAAAGTCATTGCTGATAAGTAGAATGCTATTACACTTTCAAATAAATGTTCAGAAAAATAATTCATTATTTTATCTTTCCTAGATTTTAATGTCATATTGGCATTAGAAATATCTACATATTATCTAGTTAATTATATTCATACTAATAATTCAACCTGAAAACAGTATAGAATATTTAGTAGTACACTCTTTAATTATCATTAGAATATATCTTTATACTTGGAAAGAGTGACTATGTATATACCAATAACTGGATACGATAATATTGATGTATATGATTATACTACAATTTATCTCTTCTCTCCTGTCCACTTTCACATTTATTTTTACTTGAAAAATAATATTTTTCATTAAATATAGTTGAAATACAAAGAAAATATTTAAAAGCTTATCTACCCAAACACAGGCAGTCTTAAGTTTTGGCATATTTTTAAATCCAGCCTTAGCTTTTGAGGTAACTCTTATAAAACCAGTGTACAAACAAAAATTTTTCTAATTAAAACACTATTAATACAAAGACACATGTAAGATGTTAAAACAAAAAACACTGGCATGCACAAATGCATTTAAAAAGGTAAATGTTGAAGTAAAAGGTGTTAAAACAAATTTCCTTAAGGAAAAGTATATCACTGTACGACATTCCCTTCTTAAATTTTTAAATAACCTATTTTAGATTAGAATTTTCAGAAAATCCAAGAACTATATTTAACTACTCATTTCAATGTATTTTCAATATGGCACTACTGAATTCAGAATCAGTTAAAGGAAGGAAAGAGAGAGACAGCAAACTGCTCTCCATTTAGTGTATGTGTGAGTAAAAATATTTAAATATTTGAGTTCATGCTCCCAGGTTTTGTAGTTCAAGAGAAAGTTACAAAGCAATATGCCTATAGATTTCCATAAAATCTGGAAAAATAAAAATCAGTTATAATTCAAGGCTTAAAGTACCTGCCTAGCTGATTACAAATTCAGAAGGATTCCAAAAAATTTAATATGTTCAGATCTTTAATCTGTCACAAAGGCAATGACAACTTTAGAAAAAAAACTATAAACCCTGAGATGAACAAAATAAATAAATAAAATTTGTCTCCAGGAACTTTGTTGTGGGTCTTCAATGGGAGGACCAAAGCATGCTGGGGATTTTCTCAGCTATTCATGGCTCAGCAGGATGGAGTCAAAACCAGTAGGCCAAAAGCAGGAGCTGAATAGATAGTGTCAGAACCAATGGAGAGGAGCCCTTGGTATTGCAAACAAGAAAAAAGTCCATCTTTCTCATTCAAAATGAGACAGAAGGGGAAGCCCCGGTCCTATGGCTAAACACTTAGTTAGTATACGTACAAACACACTCTGAGCCCTCGCGTGCATGCCAGTGCTTGCAGCCATCACACTTCCTTCCCGTGGCTCCAGGGCGGCATGTGCAGAGTCCTGTGACTGGGTCACAGGGGACAGGCAGTGAGCCATAGGGGTCACACTCACATTCTTGGCAGGAGCCTCCAGGGCTGCTTGGACTGCCAGTGTAGCCAGGGGCACACCTGGATTTAAACAGTGACAAAGCAAAGGTTAGGCAAGTCACATCTCTAAATTATTTGTTTGTGTGTGTGTGTGTGTGTGTGTGTCTGTTTGTTTCATTTTTAAATGAAGCAAAATTGGTATCAAGAGTCAAAATTGGTATCAAGATCAGGAGTCAGCAATCCTTTCCTATAAAGGGCCAGATAGAACATTTTGTGCTTTATAAGCCAAAGACAAAGTCAAGTTTATGCACTGAGAAAGAAAATTTCAAAGTTTCTTCAAGTTGGTAGAATTCAAACCATAGTAATATCAACAATAATAGAGTATAAATTATTTCATAATACAAATCTACTAAAGAGAATAACTAGAAGTCTTTGACATATTAAATTTAAGTTAAATGGAGTTCAGATTTAGTGCTTTCAAATCATCACATGATTGTAAATGTTTACCTGAGGCAATATGGTTCTTGGATTAAATGGCAAAGAAAACCAGGCAAGGGCTGAATTTGGCCCATGGGCTGAAGTTTGCCTACTGCAGCTCTAGTTCATAAACTTTTCTTAAAAGTTTCTTTTAAAGTTTCTTGGCAATAAGCAAATTGGATTTTCTATTGAATTCTATTGGTGTTTCGTTTTTTACCATACCTTTTCCAAGATGATATTCATTAGGTATCTGGGAAAATGAGTTCATGTTGAGCAAATAAACCACATAGCATTGACTTAAGAAATTAAAAATGAAATCAGATTGCGTGAACCCCAAATGCCATCCACTCATCATCTTTCCCCCCAATCCATGAATCTATTCATCTGAGTATATACCAACATGCACTATGAGACTGCAGCTTTACAAGATGCTAGCAAAGTCATATGTTTCTGCTGTGCTCAGGACAATCTCAGATTACCTGTTGTCCTGGCTAAATTATTAAAAAATACTTCCTTTTCCTCTTTAGAGTGCAATATATTTATATATATGATCAGTGTAAATATAACCAACAGTCAGATTTTTTTTTTTTGTACTGGAGATTGAACCCAGAGGCACTTAACCGCTGAGCAACATTCCCAGCCATTTTTATTTTTTATTTTGAGAAAGTCTCACTCAAAAGTCAGGATTTTTGTTCAACATGTAAGTAAGAGAAGGTCAGAGAGAGTAGGCGGTTGGAGCCAAAGGTATAAATACTAATTGGATAATTCTGGACCATTTTTAGTAGCTTGGGATTATGAAAACTTGCACAGCTGATTCTTTTTAAAAAATATTTATTTTTTAGAAGTAGTTGGAAACAATATCTTTATATTGTTTATTTATTTTTATATGGTGCTGAGGATCCAACCCAGGGCCTTGCACGTGCTAGACGAGCAATCTACCACTGAGCCACAACCCCAGCCCTGCATAGCTGATTCTAAAAGTTCATTCATCCTGTGCTAGTTAGAAAAGGTGAAGCATAAACTATTTGTAACATTAGGCTTTCAGACATGTATGCTTTTGATTGTCATTTTCTTTCCAATATAAGATAACAAATGCTTAGTAAAAATATCATTTAAATAAGTCCATTTAAATTGTTTCTTAACATTTGCAGGTAAAATAATTGTATTCTAAGCAGGTTCAGACTGTGTAAATCTTCAAAGAATTTATGACAAAAGTAATGAGGATAAAGTTTGGTAAGGGTTTCTACATTACAGGGACACTCAAGAAATTTAGACACTTTAAGAGTTAAGTTTGAGCAGGTCTTAAGGTGATTTAAATGATTTAAGATGCTCTCAGAAGTGGGATGAGTTTATTTGGAAGGTTACAATAAAAATTTAACCAAGACCTTTGGTTTAATTTAGCTGAATAGAAGCAATTTTTCAGGGAAATATAACTGATCATTTATATGTTAGAGATGATAAATGCAAAGCTTTAACAACATTCAAGAATTGCAAAAACAATTCATACCATTCACATTTGATAGTATATGATCCTGCTCATCTTATATGCTGTATGAACTGTCAACTTTTATTCATTAAACATTAATGGATTTTAGAAATGGATTTCTGTAATCACTCTGCTTTAAGATAATACTTGTCATCATGGTATACCTTTCCAGTCTTTTCTATCTATACACATGCTTTTGTCTGTAGTGGTGATTCCAATTTATGAATGCAGCTTATTATTGCAGATAATTGTGTTGGTGTGAAAGAATGCTTTCATTTACCACCCTGCTGGTGATTACAAGGGCATGAACTGAATATCAGCCTAAGCATCAAAACTAAAGCACCCTGGTGGAGAGAGAAAATATATACCTTTATCATCTATAATCTACATACAAATAATATATATTTTTTCAAAACAAATGAAAATAGTTTTGGATTTTATATTACAAGTTGTTTAATTGCTACTAATTTTGGTTGGCATGGAAATTGTGAATGTACTGTTATACATATGCAAGTACAGAATATTGTAATTAGAGTAACCACATACAGATTTGTATTTCAAACTCTACCTTATGAACTTATATAAACTGCACTGGAATTTACAAAATTTAAGTCTAATTATTTAATTACCTTCCTGTTGTCATTATTAATATAGACATTTCTGATTCTATATAAGAAGATTTTATAAGTGAGTGATGATAAATATTATTTAATATTAGCTTATCTTTTAAAATTTGGATTTCAAAAGCTCCTAGGAGAATCCAGCAAAAAAATGGGTAAAGCAGGACATGGAAAAGAAAGACTCCAAACTATGATGTGATTGCAATAAAGCTCCAGTGTTAGAGTGATTCCATAGAGCGTTCTGGATTATAAATAGCATCTTAAAATCTGTTCTGCTTTGAGACAAAGGAAAAGGACTCTTGTACTACTTCACTAGGTAGTTATTGACTTTGAGGAAAAAGATGAAGATGGGATAAATTTCCAAGACTTTTTGTGACTCTGCTGGAGAGAAGGTTTTCATCTGGGTGCCTAGGCAAGGTGTCACACACATCACTGTCATACTGGCAGTATTAAGTAGTTAACATCAGCTATTCTTCTAAGACACATGAGGAAATATGGGATCCATCTAGGTTGGTGGAACTAAGCTAAGTTCATGAAGCTCTAGAAAACTTTTTATGCTGTCAATTCTGCTATAACCACTATGAGTTTTAATGGTCAATATTATTACTTTCTGTGATGTTAAAGATGCTAAAAGTGGTGGTGACAAGTTTGAATAGCTAGGATGCTAATATTATAGAAAATACGTATTGGGAAGATGTTAGTTACAATCTTACTTTATAGTCTGGAATTGTATTGCTTATTTTAACATTTGTTATATATTTAGAATTAAATTTAATATCTACAAATTTGCCTTAGTAGATCCTATAAATTACTACTGTAAGAAGCAGCATGTAAATAACATTGTTTACTGTTGAATACGGGGAATGAACAGCATCTCATTGTTTGAATAGTATACTAATTAAAAATGCTGACACCATTTACTTTCTGAGTTAGCCATATACTTGCCAATAAAGGGTCACTGGGCTAAGAACAAATGATGTGTGTGCAATTATCATTATAGTATTTTGAAGACAGCATTTTCCAGTGAACTAAAATGAGAAATATGTAGCCAGGTTTTTATTATTGGACGCTACTGATAAGCTTTTGAAAACCAATTTATTTGTTAGTATAAAATTTATAAAATAAATTTATAAAATTTGTGCCTATTTATGCATTTATATCTCTATATATTTACTAAAACCTAAATTAGTTGTGAAATGATTTGGAGCTTTAAGGAAATCTAAAGTTAGATAGAAGTAAACTTTCTCCAGAAAAAGTCTAAAGATATAAAAATAGTTTTGTAAGCATCTAATTTAAACAACTAGAAAAAATGAAAATAATGAAATTATTGAAATATGGGCTTCTCTGTGGTGACCCTTAGCTATGTAACCTCCATGTGTCATGACTGCTAGTACCTTTCACAGTATTGGCCTTCATATCCCCGTGGACAAGCTGTGCAGTGGTAATCATCAATGCCTTGGATGACGCAAGAAGGGCTGAAACTGAATCAGAAAAAGAAATATTATGAAAATATTTTTTTTTACTCATTTATTTCAAGGTGATTGGTTCATATTTCTAAGGTAATGACAAAGATCATATTTTAATCATTGGTAAAGTTCCTATTTAAGGGTACGGTGTCACAAATGTTACTACTAATAGTAAATAAATCTTGGTTGGTGTTTGATGAATTACACTAAACATGTCAATATTTTGGAATTTCAATGATTACATAATAACCATGAAAATATTAGGCACCTAGCAAAAGAGTCCCCTTGCTCACTAATCAAAAGATAAATTGGACTAGAATTTATGCATATCTCTCTGATAGAATAGGCATTGCTGAATGTCTCTTAGGTTAAAGGAAAGAAGAGGGCATAAAAGCTATATATACATATCGTGTGTGTATGTATGTTTATGTATGTGTGTGTGTGTGTGTATTTTTTTTTCTGAAAGCTCAATTCAAATTACCCCTGATACTTCAACACATGAAGTATGAATAAACATTTCAGTTGTAATAAGTGCGCTTTTTCTAATTGACATCCAGATTTCAAACTATATATTACATTAAACACTAAGTAATGTGATTAGTATGAGCACAAGAAGAAAAGAAAGCCTTATGTAAGAAAATGAATACAATTTACTCATCATTTTACAGAATTTTCTAATTATTAGGTCTTCTATAACTTGTTTTCACTACAATGCTGGTAGGCCACAGCCTGTCTGCCTTGCTCCAGGATTTCTGATTATCTTACTGTATAATAGAAAGACTTGAAGAGACTTGAAAACCAAACTGTATTATCATGTAGCTTTGAGTTGTTACAAACTTCTTTCAAACAGGAAAGTGCTACATTTCAATTGAATAAAACTATTTGATTCATTAGAAACTTAGGAAAAGAAAACTTATTTGTTGCAAAACATCAATGCTGGAAACACTGTTTTTCATTTTGGTTGATCTGCAAAACCACTTGATTCTAAAAAGGCAGTAATGACAGAGACAAAGACCATGCTCTTTGGGTCGGGTGCCAATAGGACCCTACTTTAACTATCTTTTAATGCATTAAATCAATAGTATAAGAATGAATGGTCAACTCTAACTTTCGCAAACTATGTAAACGAATGAATTTAGTACTAGCAAACTAATTATTCAAGACTATTTTTTGTTTTCATGAAAAATAGAACCACAAACTCATAATTGACACAGTCTGTCAAGTGTTTAGCTCTTTAAGACTTGATGCCAAATGCATCTGTTTGTACATAGACACACAAACTCATATACATATATAGGCCCAAGGAAATAGATTTTGGACATTTTAAGTGCAAACCTAGATTACATTCATTTACAGTAATATAATATCACCAAAAATAAAGTACTCAGAAAGTAAATAACTAGTGTGCTATAGAGGAATGAATGAAGCACCACAGAGGAGTGTAGTAAATCTCCTTGGAGAGTGGATACCATTTTGGAATTACAGTACTCTGATGGATCGTGCTTTCTCCTTAAATCACATAAAAAGGCTTCTGAAGAAGGAAGTAGGAAACATAGTTTGCCTGAGGTTAGAGTTGGTTCTTTTTGTTCATACCTCCCTTGTCTGCTCTCAATTCTCATTTCACGGACAGAGCCACTTAACAAGCCTTGTGATTTTTTCTTGGTGACCACCCTTTACCTTTCCCTGTGGTGATTCCAAACTCCCTTCCACAGAATTTCTGACATTTACAGAGTCTCTTCCTGTGTCACTCTGTGTGGACTCTACAGAGAGGAACTGGCTCCCTAGAAACAACCTCCTTAGTTTTGATCCCAGTTCAGTTGTTTCTCCTTTTAATTTCCTTTGCTGGGTCTACATCATGTCCTTGATCTCCTAAGGTGCTTCCAAGTTCTGGTCTCAGATTTCTCCTCCTCTCTCCTTTCTTCTCTGACAATTTCATCCATTCTCAATGTCTTTACATATTGAATTTACATTGACGGATCTAAAACTGAGCCCCCTGTCCTCTAAAAAATATACCTGATTTTTCTATAATTATCTCCATCTTAGTCAAAGGTCATTCTGTGCTTCTATTTGCTATGCTAAAAACCATGGGGTCAACTTTGTCTTCTTATTTCTCTCACACGCCACATAAACTTTATATGTAAATGTCACTGGTGCTACAATCAGAAATATTATCACTGCATGGTCCTGGACCAGCCCACCCCTTGCCATTGGAAGACAGTTTGCCTTCTGTGTGTTTAATTTTTATTTTTTAGTTCTACATAACACAATACCTTTATTTGTTTATTTACTTACTTATTTATTTATGTGGCGCTGAGGATCAAACCCAGTGCCTCACACATGCACGGTAGCCTCTCTACCACTGAGCCACAACCCCAGACCCTGACTTCTGTATCTTTAGTTACCCATTGGAGCTTGCTGATTTCATCATTGCCAACTCTCTTACTCATTTTCTCTACTCCTTTCCTGCTGACTTCTGCTGTCTGCTGAGCATGGGTCAGAAGGATCTGTCTCTGGGCCTGAGCATTTGCTTTACCTCTGGCTGGATGCTCTTCTTGCAAATATTTAAATAGTTTGCTCCATTGTTTCATTTGAGTCTCTACATAAACCCCATCTTTCTGTAGAGGTCACTGACCACCCTATGTAAAATTGTACTGCAGTCACTTTATATTAACTGAGGCTGCTTTATTTTTCATGGCAGTATTTGTCACCACCTGACATTACATTATCTATCTATTTATTTATTGTCTTACTTATGAAAAATGTAAGATCAGGGAAAGTAGGAAACTTGGATTATTCTGTTCACCTATCAATTCCCAGGATGAAGAACCATGTCTGGCATTGAGTTGTACCATCATTAAACATTTGTGAAGGTAGAAACACAATAGTATCTTTACCTTCAGTAAAGTTATAAGTGTATATCAGATGGACACATACAAATACAAGACAGGACATATGTATCACTCTTATTCAGGATGTCAAGATGCAGTACTTACTACTTAGTGTTTAATTTCTGAAAGCCCTTTTGAATGAAGCAAAGATATGAGATAAAATGCATTAGCAGTAAATGAAAGTACAAAGAACATGCTCTGCTGTTCTGTCGGGGAGGTGGCACTTGAACTGGGCCTTTAAGAATGGATTAGATTCCACAGGAATCATCTCAGGGAACAGCAAGGACAAAGACTGTTGAGCATGTTCAGAAGAGAGCAGGAATCTCCAGACTTGGCATCATGAGAAAAGGAACAGAGAGCACTGAGCCTGGAATGGTGAGTCAGTGACCAATCTCCATGCCTTCCTACCCTTTGTTTCACTCATCTATACAAATTGAAGGCACTAAAATGAGAAATCGCAACCCACCCCATGTGTACCTGGAATCTTCTTTTATATATTGGGAAGACGTGCCTCTCTTCTTTGCCCTGGCTGATTTCTGTCTTTTGCCTTTTAATCCTTCTTTTTTCACCATATGTAGATATTTGAATTAGACTAGACATTCCAGGCTTTAGGTGATGGGTATTAGTGGGTCATGAAATCAGCTTAGTGGCTTTTGACTAAAACTTTTGCAAAAATGTGAGATAATAAAATGAAATAAATGGTTGGGCATATAATATATCTTTTTGAGTATCTGCACACATGTCTTTGAATGCTAGGCTATAATATAAGAAAAAAGTATTTCTCACAGTGATTTGATCAAGAAAGTTTGAAAGGCACTGGAATAAGCCACTTTCACTTGGTATTATGATTCTTTTAGGGTCCTTTGAATAGAGATTATACTTAAGTTACATCAATAATATAAACTAAAAATAAAACAAATGAAAATGTACCATTGAATTGATTGTTCTAACCAACCAAAGTAATATTTTCCTTGTTATTATGAAGTTCGACATTTCTTAAAACTTCAAATTCAAGCTCTTGTGTCTTAATGACTGCTTCCATTCTTGCTGCTGGTTCATCTGCCACCACACCGAAGCTGTCTCATATGAGGGAGCAGCACTGGGTGTTTGTTGATTGATATTCCTCATTCCCTTGCTGTCTGCGACAACTGCCTGGATTCTTGTCTCCCTGCCTGTTCCTGCCTTGCCTCCCCATTTTCTTTAGTGATTCCCCACAAAGGAAAGGTCCTGTCTTTGCTTCTCTCCATGTGTTCTCCAGGGATACTATTAGCCAGGGCAACCTTATCTGACAAACTCATTTATTAACATATTTCTTCCTTCATCTGCTCCTGCAATTTTCAGATTCCTATTTCTTACAGATATTTGCATATTTCCATTCACACAGACCCTTAACATCAATTTAAACCTATTTAAACTATAAATGGCCTTTCTTCTGTAGCACCTCTCTCCTAATTTTCCTATTTCAATTCATAGTTCCACCATTTGGGGGTCAACCTGGCTAAAGTCTTCAGCCTTCAACTCCTTTCTAGACCTCATCCCTCACGTGGAGTTATCAATTCTGCAGACCTATGTTTAACAATTTTCTCATATTCATCCCTTGTCTCCATTCTTGTTACTGTTCTAATTATCTTTTGTCCAGGTTACTGCATTAGCTCTTTAATTGGTCTCCCCGCTTTTCTTTTTTGCCTGTTTCAATTCATTATGCCCAATTGTTTCATAATAGTCTTCCTCAAATGTGGTTCTGATCATATTAGCCTTTTCTTAAAAATAAAAAACTTACAGTTTTTCATAATATATAAAATTAAAATTAATTTCTATAGTGGTATTTGAGAATTTCTATAATATGGCCTCCATTTTCTTATTCATTTTCATCTGTAATTAAGAAATTCTATCCAAATTTCATGCTCCAAACTCTATTACCTACTAGCTTTTCAATATGCCTTGCACACTGTGTTTTCTAGGCTTCTGCTCATATAATTTCCTACCATTCTCAACAGTAAAAACCCTTCAGTCTACTATTGATGATCCCTTACACAATGGCTACTTCTTTTAATGTGTTCTTGAAACTCCCCCAAATAATTACAGTGTTTTAAGCTTTTAAATTCTCTTAACATTTAAGTTGATGTCTCTTAAGACACATGTTTAATAAGGAGCAATCCCAAGAGATGGTAGCTTCTCCTTTATAGTCTCTGTAGCTTTTCTTATAGTGTATCCAAACAGAGAAAAATTAATTAACTATTGATTATTTTTTTCTAATTCAAATGGTTCACATTTTAAGAAACAAGGGAATAAATAGCATCCCCTTATTTAAATATGAGTATCAGAGGGAGATTAGGAAAAGGGAAAGCAGAATAATATTATGTTTCATATACCTATCAGTTCCTGCTTGCATGAAAATAAGATTATGCATATTATCCTCATCAGTAGCCAATGTATCCCGAAGTTTATATTTAACACCCTAAAAAGGCCTGAAATTATGGTCAACAAGAAAGAGAAGTTTTCAGAAGAAAAGGAAACAAGTTATACAAAAATGTTTTCAGAATATGCCTAAAGCTGAAATGTAGAGGCAAACAGGCCCAGGTGGCATGGCAGCCACTTGGAATCACTCTGTATCTGTTTTATGCTAGAGGCCAAGTGTCCAGAATTCTAATTCTGAACAAACTGATATACCTTTCTTTTTTTTCCCAACCAAATTCTTAAAGAAAAACTATGAAGTGAATACTGAAGTCTATAAATCACTTATAGTATAGATTGTCTTAGCAAAAGGATAAATTAAAACACCCAGGTTTTCATCAATCTATAAACCAAAGCAGCATGTTCAGACAGCATCGAAATAAGATATTCCAGCATTTTTTCCCCCTTAGCTATGTTTCCATGGTACCAAGCTCAGACCATCTTAACAGAAGGGGTGCTGTGATTCTGGCAGACATGGACTTTTTTGGGGGGAGGAGCATATCAATAAGTTGCCCTGCTTTCATTGTGCAATTTTTCAATTGGTTCCTTGATAATTAATTTCCAGCCTTAAATTTATCACACAAGAAGAATAGAAACAGCCACAAAAGTGATATAGTATGCAGTCAAGCTATCCTTCATAGCTGAGTTGATGGCAGAACTATATGCAAACACTAGAACTGTATATTTATACAACTATGCATACTTGTATATATGTTATTTATTTTATAATCAGAAATCATATTAATATTGGTGCTTACATTTTAATTAATTATTAAACACTAGGACAGTGTTTTAAAGGACAAATGAGCCATAGAGTGTATATACCAACATTTTTCATGATTTTATGATTAGGAATATTTGTCTTGAGATTTTTATCTACATGGAAAAACAGTCGAATCTTAGCCCATGTGCTAGACAGATGGCATTACTGATTGGGAAATATGGCTGTATTTCTCAATCTTACTTGTTGCTGGGAGAAATCAGAGGGCAAGCACATTGCTGACAGTCATTTGGCAATCCCTTGACAATGCCATAGTATCCAAGAGCACAGCGTTCACAGAAATCACCAGTAGTGTGATGTTGACAATTCTGCAATAAACGGAAAGGGATAAAACATTTATTTTTAATTAAATGAGAGTTAGAATGTAATTTATTGTACAGCTCCACCCCTATGAGTGTGTGTGTCTATGAACACACAAACACAGACACACACACACACACACACACACACACACAGAGTCTATCATTAATAGGAAACTCAGTTTTTGATATATTTTAAAGAAACTTTTATTTGAGAAACTAATACTATGCAATTTTAGCTAAACTAGTGATAAGTATTTCTTTTTTTTCCC